ATAAGGACCCGAAAATAAGGTACCCTTATTATGAGAAACTCTCACTTCGTGGCCAAGGGTAAGTGCTGGAGATGGAGGCTGAGGGCTTCGGACGTCAAGGGAAGAGGCCTCTTACTAGGTTCAACCCGAAACCTCCTAAGCCCTCACTCAACCCTAAATCCCTAAAAACCCACGCCCTGGGTTTTTGCAAGGGGCCCCTGCTTCAGGGTTTTGGGGGTTTCAGGGGCGATGCAAACCCAGGGCAGTGCCCCGAGAGATGGCAATCCTCGGCTGAAGCGGCGCCGCTGTCTAGCCTTGGTCCGGGGTCTGGTTCCTTGTTGGGGGGTATATTAAAATCATCATTTTTAATCCTTAACTTAATATTGGGTCTTACGATAAAACAACATGTAAAATTGTATGCAACAAGGATCCAGGGGTGGTCTTATGGAAGCTTACTATGCATTCCTGAAGTCTCTAAGGGGAGAGACGTTTATGGCGGTTACGGTTTAGAGGCTCAGGATTCAAATTGCGGGCTTAGCAAGTAGAGAATGTCATAACACTGAAACCTAAAACAAAAATGGATTCACACTCTGAGCACTGCAGAAGCAGGAACTTTGGAGGGAGTGGACCCAAGGGTCAATACATGTATACATGGTCTGTACGCATGTGCCTTCTGTAGGGTCTGAAGCGACCTCTACTAACTCTACTACAAGCATGGCTACAGCACAGGGAGCCCAAATCCAGAGGACGCTGTTTCAGAACACCACCTCCCCGCAGTGAGTGATTTTTGAGGTTCAGGGTTTCGGGACTGTTCATGTCGAAAGCTCAGAAGGTCATCTCCCGTGCTTAATGTATTCACCTAAGTTCGGAGGTATGACCTGCTCTTGTTATATGGTTGTCACGCATCCCCTTCCCCAAGAGATTTCGGCTCGGCTGTAATCATACCCACAGGCCCCTAAGTAGTTCCTTTTTATGGTGTATATTTAGAATCCTATAGGGTGATCCCAAAAAGGTACTACTTAGGGGCCTATGGGTAGTTGCATAACGAAGCACCCCAGGCGGACCTGCACCTGGAACCTAGGCCCCGGACTCCCAAACCGAGTCGATGATCTTCTGCAGATTCCTGGGATTTGGCAAGACAAGGCCAGAGTGTGAGTGTCGAGTTTTTGCCACTGTCATGTAAAGGATGTCTCACGACGGACAAATTCCCCTCGAAAGGCGTGACACTTTGCAGTCAGGACTCCGTACTTCACATCGTGTGCGCAGAAGTATGGTACTCCGTCGAAGACCCTACTTGTTAGAGCCTTACTTATTGCCCCTGGAGCACAGAACCCAGACCTACCTCAATTCCTGCCCCGCTGCACGCTGTTCCGTGATCCGTCTTGTAACAAACACCGAAACCTCCATAAACATAACCTCGAGCCAGAAGAATGCGCTCAAAACTCTGAGTCGCTGAATGCTTGAGTCCACCTAAGGCCCTACACCCTCGACAAGGGAACCGAGGGCCTTGCTTTTACGAAGTCGTCGAGTCTTAATTGGGGGGGACTGTGACCTCTGACGATATGGAACAGCAACAGTTTGTGGTCAGGAGCCTATCGGGACATCATGTGGGACTTGATTGAAAAATATGGTACTCTTTTGGATCGATGCCATGGCATTCAGGATAATTACCAGAAAAGAGCTTTGTGAGTCCAGTGCGGTGGGTCTCGATCATAACCAGACAGACCACAGAATGCTGTTCAAGCGTCTTCTTCTTCTCGCCGGTTCCCCCTGAGCAGTAGTTGAGCAGCCTGTCGTCTCCTCCTGGACGTGTCTAATAAAGTCTGAGAACCTTCGCACATCAGTGTGACGGTATGCCCATAGCATTGTTGCGAGACCTATTTCATGACTATCGTTGCTCTGGATCTTTCTTCACAACATCTTCGATCGCTAGTGTTTCGTCCTGACCATCCTGTTAACCGAACTCTGATCTGTGCCGCCAGTCGCAGTTCTGACGACACATGTGTTGGCTTTGTGCTGATGGTGCAAGGGCTTCCGGCGGTCAATGAATCAGCCGAATACCAAGCGATGCTACCAGTGCTGTGCTGCTACTGTATTGGCAATATTCTTCGTGTCATTGCTGTCGTTACTACCTCTTCAGGAAGCAGCTGTGCTGCCCTTGTTGTACCATTCGTATGCTCGCCGTTGGTATACCATCGTCGTCATCATTGCCAGTGTATTTCGTTCTCACTGTCTCATGAACATTGTCAACAGCACTATCAGACTATTAGGGCTATTGCAATTATGATGTTCATCAATTATTCGTATTAATGTCAGTATCTTGGCCGTGGTTTCATTGTTAAGCTATTGTCAAAACCATTACCCCTGTTCTTCCAGTGGTCTGGTGCTGAGTCGGTCATCACACTCACGGATTCAGCTGTGTAGCTTCGCGCCAAGTGGGCTGTTGCGCGCGGGCTTAGGAATTATAGGGTTTAGGGCTAGGCCTTCCCCCCAAACTCGACACTGGAATCCTTAACTTAACTGACCCGTCAGCCCCAAGTCCCCAAGCCCTAAACCACCAACAACAAACCTGAGGAATTAAGCAACGACGATTTCATAAATCAGCAAAATATGTTTTGCAAGCAACCCACGTTAGAAAGCGAGAGTTTTAGGGGCTGCCGGAACTCTAGACATCTAGCAATTAAGCTGCTGGCATTGAAGACGCATGCTTAGAAGTGAGCTAGCATTGCAAACACGGTTTCCTAAAGCTCTCAGCCATTCCCCCAAAGCCCCTGAACCCTGAAAGCCCTGTAAAGCCACTCAGCCACTATAGAACCCCATGCCTCCGTCACCTCGCCACATTTTAGGCCAAACAGCCAAATCTTACCGAAACAAGCCCTCTAAACTTCCAAACTCCTCATAGCTCCCTGCCCCAGTCTCCCCAATGAAAAACCGCATATGCTCCTTCGAAGAAAAACACCTGAAAGCCCACATACAAGCCGAGGGCCTCGACTAATTTCTCGCGCCAGGTCGTACAACTCCTGACTTCTTCTCTTCGTCTTTTTTGGGTTTAGGGCTTTTAGGGTTTAGGGGGTGGGGCCTAAACCCTACATCCTAAACTTTCTCTCGTTGGGCGCTTGCTGCTTGCGTTGGTTCGCCTGCGCCAGGTCGGGCTCCAGTTCTAGGCTCTACCCATAGGCCCCTAAGTAGTTCCTTTTTGGGGATTACCTTATAGGATTCTAAATATACACCATAAAAAAGAACTACTTAGGGGCCTATGGAAGGTTTCGGATTTAGAAGGTGGGGTTCAGATTCGGATTTGGGGTCTGGTCTTCGGTGCGTGGCTTAGGCATTTTGGGGTAAGCTTTGAATATTTCTGTTTTAGGGAATTTCGGGTGAATTCCTTCTGGCTTACAGTCAAGGGTAAGACAATGGACCGCTGGAAAGAATCAATTTGAAAGGTCTGGACATGTACTTTTTTCCACATGGTACCAGAGTCTGCGCCCCTTTGGCGTCGGATCTGCTCCAAGTAACTCGCCACCGAATCTCCTCATCATGTGGAGAACGCGGCCCCTTGTGCTGCGCTGCCGCTGCTTCCGTTGAGGGCGAAGTCCGGTAGCCGTCAGCCGTCAGGGCGCGAGACAGCGCCTGAGGTCGGCAATTCGTGGAGGTCCTGGCAGTCTCGTGAATCCTTTGCGCGTCCTGCAACGGCACGGTCCATGCCAAGGGTATGCCTCGCATGTGAGGGCATCGGAGCAGTCTGCCCGGCCCTAATCATCCCACCACGACGAAAACCACTGGCCCATGCGCTCGAACAAGCCACGATCGACGTCCTGCAGCCATCCGCAAGGAAAAACAATTGCTGCTAAGACGACACTTGAAACAACTACTGCTCCGCTGCAATCGAACCGTTCTAAGCTCTGAACAGCACGGTGTCCTCCTTGGGGAAAACCACCTCGACCATGCACTTTCTCTCTCGAAACTACGGGCTTGAAGGTGCGATTTATGAGCAAACTCATTGCAGCCATTCAAAGCAGATCACTCGCGAGCTTGGTATAAGAAATGCCTCCGTCCATCACGGGCCATGCATTGCAGGAGGTCCATGACTGTGGATGATGCGTTAACTGTAGCTTTCTAGCATTCCTAGGTCGTAGGTGAGCCGCGACTCCCAGATCCCACGGACCCCCCCAACAACTGCGAGCCCCAAAGCTATCGGGTATCGCAAGCCAAAGAGCACCAAACTTCCCCCCAAACCCCAAGCCCCGGAACCTAAGAATTCCCTAAGCCCGCAGGATCCCATAGCCCCCAAAATCATCGCTTCCGAGCTTTAGAGTCCTAGGCTCAAGGTTTAGGGTTTAGGGCTACAGGGTTTAGGGGTTAGGGTTTCGGGCTCGGGGGTTTCGGGTTTTAGGGCTCTTCAGGGCTTTTGATAGCCAAGCAGCCATCAAGAGGGGTGGCCGCCCGGGCAGCTCGGATAGCATGGTGCCACTGGGCACGACTGCACCGGCGCAGATCAGCCGCAGTCGGCGTTGCGAGGGACCCAGGCCTTGTGGGCATCTCATTCTGTTCTTACCGGAGGGTTTCCGCTACATGGAAAGCAACTATAGTACATAGTGAAGCAGCTTTCTCTTTGCAAGCTCCACTCTCGACGAAGGTTGAGGTCTTGGAGCTTTGGGGTCTGGGTGTTGGCGGATTGAGTACTTACACATCCCCTTGGCTGTGTTTCGGGGATCCGTTTCGAAGTGCAGTATTAGAGCCGTCCCAAGCTTGGACCGAAAACTCGAGACATAGCTCTCTGTAATCGTACGGACTACCTCCGTTTGTGGACTATGACTACCGGTAGACTCGCAGTGCTGTTTTGCTGCTGCTTCTACGTAGCACAAGGACTGCCTCGTCGCATCTCCTGATTGCCGTACTGATGCCCCTCCTCCTCTTGGGTCCTACTCCTCCACCTTCCCCTACCTCTACCCTACTATTGAAACTACAACTGATGCTGGTGGTGGAGGTGGTGGTGCTCCTGCTGCTGCTGCTGCTGCTGCTACTCGTACCATTATGCAAAATGGCACTCTACACTGAGGCAACCGTTACTAAATTGCGTACTACACCTATGCGACTCGCAGCTGTCGCCTTTCTGGGGATCCGGGCCGAACAGCCGGCCGACCGTGGCATAAAGATCCTCGCCCTTGGCTTCGGGTTTAGGGTTCAGGGTTCTGAGGCAGCCATTGATGACCCAATTGAGCCCGAAGAGTGGCAAAAGCCAGTTTCGGAGCCTTGGGCTTCGCCAATTCCACCGACCTTCATCTCAAGTTCTTCACAATATTTTCTCCGGACGAAACGGCAATGCAAATGGTTTAGGGTTTAAGCTTAGGGTCAAGGGTCTCAGAAAAGTGATGAGTGCAGTACTTTTGGCTTCGGGTTTGCGGTTAATCAGAGTCAACGAAACAGGGCCGGGCGACGAGAGGTACCATAGGGGTCTTAGTATAGGACGGCTAATATAAAGAACCCTCAAGGAACAGTCTTACGTACGGTTTCAGAAGACGGAAACGCTAGAATTCTAGCACGCTATAAGCGACTAAGACAACTATATCAGGAGGCACGGGCCATGGGAATAAAGTCGCATCTAAGTCAAGTTTGCCTACCCGTTACTACCAGCACTTCTGCAGATCATTTGTTCGTTCTTTGCCATTGTCATGCTGATGTTCATGGGTACTTACTTCCCCGAGTCTAAGCTGTAAACATGTGTTGCGGCTGGTCGTGGTTGCCATCCTACACCCTACATCCCAACACGAACTTGGGCTCCGATGGTCTTTACCATGGTGAGGGTATAGCATAGTAGCATGATGTAGTATGCTATAGTACAATAATATAAGATAGTACGGTCCAACTAATGAAACGCAGGTTTAGGGTGTCAGGGAAGCCCTGCGTCTTGCAGCCCAGCGGCAGGCCCCAAGCGGAGGCCGCGGAACTGGATGCTCTTGTAGCGCACCGAGAATGCTTGAATCTCCTAAGGGTGCGAGATTCAAGTCGAAGGAGGCTTTTATGAGTAATTTTAGATGGCTGTGGTCTCAGGATGATACATTGCGAGCTTTCCGCCGAATGCAGCTGTGCTTGTTCTGCCTTCAGTGCATGTTGCGTGAATTCGCGTGTGGCTGAGCAAGCTTACGTTTCGGAGTCTCTCTTATACTTCGCTGTAACAGCCATAGCATGTAAAATAGATGGTCTTTACGCCAGAATCTGCTCTGCGACCCTAAACCTCTCAACACCAGACATCACATTCACAAACAGTAGGATTTGTTGATTACTGGGCGCGCTCAACAACAACTTGCATGAGCAGTCTTCTCAACACCCTCCGAAAATTCCTGAGTTACAACCGACTTCCCACGACCAGGCACGCCGTCTGCATGCTGCCTTAGTTGCCCCATAAGTCAGGAAATACAACGTTAAACTTTCCGATTACTACTAGTATATAAGAACCCAAAAAGTCTAAAGGTTGGGTATTGGAGAACCCTAAACCCTAAACCCAAACCCCTAAACCCAACTAAGCTGCTCTCCCACCAAGGTCTGGATGTTGGCACGGCAGTTTGGGCACAAGGCTGAGGCACCGAGGCCTGCAAATGTGATGTGCTTGGACCTTGGCGATGGAACCCTAGGTCTAGGTTTAAGGCTTGAGGGCTTTAGGGCTGTATGAGGCATTAGGCCTTAGAGTTTTGAGGCTTCGGCCTTAAAACTTATTTGAGCCATGACATCGTAGCCTATGTCATGCTTCGTGCTTCAAAAGATGGTGCTCTTGGGTAGTGCCGTCGTGGATTTCGCGATAGCGTGCCGAGGGTTCTTAAGGTTTAGGGCCTTGAAGGTTTAGCTGTTTTCGGGTTTCGGGTTTTCGGGCGAAGGGTTTAAGATTCGGGGACTGTGGGCAGTACTCTACGCCTCCATCCCGCAAGCGGAGCTTCGACGGAAATGCAAGTTGCAGAAAACAAGATGCTCCAGAGGAGGCTCCTCGTTTGAAGGCCCTAACCACAGTGCGCCTGTAACTTTCCACAACCTCACAGTTTCCCTCAACCCAAAACCCCTAAGAAAGCCGCTGAGGTCTGGACACACAACCTGCGCAAAAGCGGTGGCTGCATTCTGCTTGTAGCATCTGATGGCCCCTGTGTAGGAAGGCTTAAAGTCTAGGGCTTAAGCCGTAGGTTTTAGGGCTTCCGCAAGGCCTATAGAAGGCATGAGACTTCGGGAAGGCTTCGAGCTCAGGGTCTGGGACCAAAAGGGAAAGCTTCCTGGAGCTTGCGTTGGAGTGTTGCTTGGGCTTGGAGTGGCCAGTATCTCTGAACCCTTGCAAACCTGATCAACTGCGAAGAACGGGCCATTGGCGATTGAATTCGGAGGATCCAGGGAAACACGTTTTGGTGTGACGGGCCTCTGCAGCACCTGACCGCGGTACCAAGGAGAAGCTTGGTCATGACTCACCAACCCTGGCCCCTAATTCTAACTCACGTCCGAAGCCAAATGAGCCTGCACAAAGATTCAACCCACCACCGCCCCGAACTTTGAAGCCTTACTACTATTGCGACGACAGCTCCTACTACTACTACTACTACTACTACTACTACTACTACCACTACGTCCTACTAGAAATTTTAACCCCCATGGGTCAGGCCGAGCCACCGATCTTGGCAAATCGAGCAGAAGGTCGGCTCCGCCGCGGCCATCGAAGCGTCCAGCGACATGGCTCCGTATTTACATCTTACTATACTACTCTCTCTCTCTCTCTCTCTCTCTCTCTCTATATATATATATATGCATACATATACACACACTCTATCTATCTATCTATCTATCTATCTATCTATCTATCTAGAGAGAGAGAGAGAGAGAGAGAGAGAGAGAGTACTATATATCCGATTCACTACTATGCTGCTAAATTCAGTAGTATGTACGAGTCTCAGGCTAAGAGGCTTAAAGGATCAGGGTGCGGGCTTTCTGAGGGCCTCTTTCAGGCCTCGTATCGGGCAGTGGGGCGTCAAACAAGATTGGTGGCATCAAAGATCTCCAACCCAGAGAGGCCATGCGGAATCATACGGGGACGCCATGATGAACTTGTCGGACCTACATGACTTCAACAGTAGATTGCATGGCTTCTCAGGTCTGCATGAATGTTCTATGTGAGCTGATACAAGCAAAAGGCCAAACAAACGACCTACACCCCCTGACTCTTAGCCCCTCAGCCTCTAAAAACCCTAAACTTAAACCAACTCCCTCAAGCATCGAAGCCCCAACGCAGGCCTCGGCCTCATGGATCTTTCGCTCACGGACGAGGCAGAAGACCTCTCGACTCCGCCAGAGCTGAAAAAGGAAAGGTGGTTTTGTCCGTGTGTTTATAGGGCTCGACGTGTTTTTCTTCTTTTGAGCCTTTAACTGTGAGGATTTGGGTCTAGTTTCAAGGCTTCAGAGTTCCAGGTTTAGGGCTTGCGGCTACTGTGAAAACTTAGGCTGTAAGGTTTACTTCGGGCTCAGGGAAGACATCGAAGGCTGGTTTGCAGGTCTCTGGGGAGACATCTCGGCTGCATGTTTAGGGAAGACGGGACCTGTCTCGGTAATGTAGGGGCCTGAGTAGAATAGGTTTTGGGGTATATCTATCATAAAGACCCCCCCTAAAAGAAAAAATATATAATAAAAGCCAAGGTAACTATGAAGGCCCCTATAGTAGGCTTCGGGGTTCAGGGAAGATCTTTCAGCTTTAGGGGTTCCCTAAAAGGGCCGGACACCCCAAAGCCCTGAGCCCCAATGGCCACCTCTCAAGCAAGAGATCTGCTTTTGTTCTTTTGGTTTGGGGTGTAGGGTGTAGGGTTGCTTTGATAACATGGACGGTCAAAGCGCAACCGCCACACCAGACTCAAACAAAAACCCTGAATCCAAGCAGACTTCGCGGTACGTTTAGTGGCCGCATTAGCCATACCATGGACTCCACTACAACAACACACGCTCATGTGGTTTGGCACGAGCACAGCAAGACAAAAGTACTATGATCAAGAGATGGGGGTCTCAGGATCGCAGGGACCCAACACCCATCTCGGAATGAGAGGGTCACAAAAAATGTTCGACACAAAAGCTCCCGCATATTTTCAAGAACCCAACCTTTAAACCAGACTTAGATCATGTCAATGTTGATAAATCCTAAACCCTAAACCCCTAAACCCTGGACCCCGGGCCTCCTGGTGAGTCATGCACAGAACCTCGCTGCTCTTGCGCTTCAGTCGCCGCCTGGAGCTTCAACCATAGGTTTTTTTCCCGAAAGCTTCAGCGA